AAAAATAATAATAAATAATAAAAAACAAAAACAAAAAAAAAAAAAAACAAAACCTAGCCAGGAGGGTGCTGACATGACAGCACCCTGTCAAATTTCTATGAGAAAAGTCAGTGCTTGAGGCTTTTTGCAAGGGAATATTAGGGTTTATACCTGTATAACACATTTGATTCATCATAGCAAAGTATCAGAGCATAAAACAATAATAAATTATTTTTTATAATGTAGATTTTTGTAATTTCAAATTCTAAGTTCCGACATCCCATTTACCTTAAAACAAAAATGAAATCTTGCAAAAAGAAATGACTAGAAAAGAGGGTCCGAAAGGATTATTTGAACTACGGAAAGTGATACATGTACATAGATTCAGCATCTTCAAAGTAATAAATTATAACACGTAATTATAATTTATTAAACTAACGGTAGCCATTAAAACCATATTTTCTTTTCTTATTATGTTATGTTATTTAATTCAAATTCAGTGAGCCAAATGTAGCCTAAGGCACTTTCAAAGTTTAAACAATTTCTAGTTGGTGGTGGTTGGATTTATTGGACCTATCTAAATCTATAGATTAAAAAACAAACTCAATAACTTTGGTCAAGCTGATTGCAGCTTATTCAATGTAATTTATCAACTTGCTAGGGAAGTCAAAATTCCAATGTAGAGAGTCATTGTTTGCAGTTGTTCTACTATTTTCTTCTATAATTATAATTATTATTACCACCCTTCTTATAGTGTCCACATCTACACCAAGAATCATAATGGGCTGCATTATACTTATTTGAATTTGACCACAATAATATGAATGATGCTTCTAACATCAGTAGTGCTAGGCACAAGTCGGGTTTTAAGCAGCTCACATCAAAGCCGAGTACTTCACTATATATTTTAAGCTTGTCTGGCAAGACTCTACTTCTACTTTTCATAGAAAAGCTTTTTGAAAAGTCACTGTATGTCAACTTCTTTTAAAAGCTCTTATAATAAAGCATTTCAAGAAAATAATTCATATAAATCCAAAAGCAACTTCTTTATTTTTCAAAAGATATGTTAAATGGGCCTCTAGAAGAGGAACAAATGGGTTACTCCACACCAGATTATCCCATTATAACCAGAGAATTAAGGAAATCGGAATATAAAATAAAGAGTTTTCTTCTTATTTCAACATGGACAATAAAAGGAAAAAGGATCCAGTATATACTGCTGCAAATACAGCTTGCTGAGAGAAGAATAATACAACAGGGAAAGGGTTTTGTATAAAGGAAAAAATAAGCTTCAATGTTCCTGCAAATACAGCTTGTTGAGAGAAGAATAGTACATAAGATTTTCATGGTAATGTTACAAGACACATTAGAAACACTGGAAATTAAATAGGGTCGAAAAGTTCGCTGCATTTAATTGCCATCTTTATGCTCGATGCCGGCCAAAAGAAGTCATCGTTCTTTCTTTGCTGTTGAGATTTGATCGGACGGAATTGCCACTTCTTTTGTTCAGGTTGGTTTCCATGTTTGCTTCCTGCCTATTTACCTCATTTCATTGTTATTTTTTATTATTAAAAAAAAAAAAACTTTCCTTGAACTAAGGTTCTCTCATCAACTTTAATGGTTTTACAGAATTGATCTCAATAGCAAGTGATCTAATTCTTAGATAATTGAATAAAAGGATTGGGAGAATTGCAAAATCTATTTATGTTTGAGTCATTTTGACGAAATTCGAAAATACTGAACTTTTTACCTTAATAAATTTAAAAGTTCGATTTTAGTCATTTTTATATACAATATACTAGTATTCAACATGTGTCATGTGGCGTATTTATATTTGAGCATTCACAGTCACCCTTGTCTCTCAACATAAGTTCTTTATAATTTTTCGTATCTTTTTAGATCTAATAGTGTGAATATTATTAAGCTAATGATAATTGTAAGCATTTGTAAAATTCATTACTTGTTAAAATTGTGTATATGAAAGAATTGAAAGATTAAAAATAATAATAAAAAACAAGGACAAAACAACAACGCTACAAGTACAGAAAAAATCAATAGAAATTTTACAGAATAAACACTTGGTGGTTTTCCATTGAAAGATTAAAAATAATAAAAAAAACAAGAACAAAACAAAACAAAACTTGGCCAGGAGGGTGCTGACACGACAGTATCCTATCAAATTTCTATTAGAAAAGCCAATGCTTGAGGCTGTTTTAAGGGAATATTAGGGTTTATACCTGTATAACACATTTGATTCATCATAGCAAAGTATCAGAGCATAAAACAATAATTAATTATTTTTTATAATGTAGATTTTTGTAATTTCAAATTCTAAGTTCCGACATCCCATTTACCTTAAAACAAAAATGAAATCTTGTAAAAAGAAATGACTAGAAAAGAGGGTCCGAAAGGATTATTTGAACTATAGAAAGTGATCAACATGTACATAGATTCAGCATCTTCAAACTATGAATTTAACATGATCTGGTATTTATAGCAGCAAAATCGTCAAAAGTTTTGTCTTACCGGATGAGGCTAACATACGTTCGCTATCTTACCGGATGGTCAAATAACCGTTTCTTTTTCAGATGTCAAAACTTTCAATTTCTTGACCGTTGGATAAACTCGCTATACCGGACGTACGCTAGTATTACAGGACACGTCCACAAGAGACCAAATGTGTCCTCTGGGCCAATTTGTGTCCGGTACTTAGAAATTTTCCTTTCTTTTAATATTTTAAAAGAAATTTAATATAATGAAGGATGTTTCTAACATGTTTTTAAAACTTTTCGACAATTCTTAAAGCATATAATAGGTTCATCCCTTAAGAAAATTATTTATGCAAAAATCGTGTTTGTTGTGTGAAAAAACTTTTCTTGAGCTTCAAATGATGTAATTGCCAAATACTCAAGTGTTTTTACCTTAACATTTGAGATCAATGTATCTAAGTCTAAATTCTCCTAATCTCATCTTTGTTTGACTTGATGAACTGCTCATTGTCTTGATATGTAGTTCGGCTTCTACTTTGTTTAATTTGTGAAAGCTCTAGAAGCATCCTTTTGTGGGTTTGTCATAACTTCTGTAATCACTCAAATACAATTATTAAACGTAATTTGTTTGTTATAATCATAACGAAAAGCTAACTGTAAGTCAACATTTTTAGCCGACCGAAAATTTAATTTCCCCTTTCAACTTTAAATACAATACAAAATTAATCACTATCTATCCTCAAGGGGGAAAGAAAAGAGAAAAA